AATAAATAAAAAATTTAAAAAAAAGAAAGTTTTGAACTAATAGTGTTTAGACAAGATATCATGTCTACATCTTGTACTATGAATAACTACTATGAAAACAACAATATGCAATGTATTAATTATTGTCACTGTCCTACTAACCTGTTTTGAAACTGTCTCATTGCTACTTCTTTCTCAATAAAGTTAATATAAAAATACCATCTCAGGGGATAACAAACTAAATCATTGAACCAATAATCACCAGAGTCAGTTCAGAAGAATATTAATAGAATATTGTCATTATCAGGTTTGTAAAATAATTCATAGCTTCTGTTAGGAGATTCATGGTTCTGGTGTGATAGGTAAAAATCAATCTTCTATAAGCTTATTGTTCACAGTGAGAGGAAAGAAATAATTTTATGGTCTTTAAATTCTTTATCCCAAAGGAAATAAAGCTTATCTATTATGGGACCATAGTGGACAGTAGAACATGTTACAGTATATAAGATCACTGGGCTTAGGGTCAGACTTAGGTTCTAGTCCTGATTTTGAAATTTATAAGCTAGGTGATCCTAAGAAAGTTACTTAACCATTGTGAGCTTCAGTTTTACCATCTTTGACTGAGATGAATAATTCCTATTTTGTCTACTTCAAAGGGTTGTGGTGAGAATTAGATAAAGTAATGGATCGAAAGGACTTCAAACACTGTAAAGTACCATACAAATAGAGGTAGCTATTCTTAGAAGTACAGTTTGTCTCCTTGATACATGGAGTTTGTTTGCTTGGTAATGACTTTAAAAATACAAGGCACTAACTCTTCATTTTAAGGAGAGTCTCAATTGAAGCTAAGAAAGCTATTTTTAAATGACACTAAAGTGTGCCCTGGCTGGAGAGACTGTAAAGAAGCATTTCCTTAAACTATCAATGCCATTTTCAATGTGAAGGCAAACAAACACATGTTTCTTCCTCACTCATATGTCAGGCATGACCTAGGCTATTGTGGAGAAAAGCTGAAGGAATAGGAAAAGGACAAGGTTATATTCACCCCTGGTATTGCTTGCAAATCTGGCACATTTCTGGTTTTTAATTCATAACCAAAAATCATCTATCAAGAATGAAATAAAACACACAACACCTGGTTGGCATTATGGCATTTGGTTACTCTCTGACTAGGAGGGTTAAAGGTAAAAATGGGTGAAAAGTAATATTGTTTATTTTGTTAGGAAGGTAAAGGATGGCTCTTAAACAGTGGCCTACTGTATGAAGGACTAAGGTCTATAGCAAATATCAAGGCTGACACTTTGCCTGATGACTGTATGTAGCAATTATTTTTCACTTTTACAATAGCACAACATGTGGGTGGAATGCTAAACAGGTCATGAAAAGCTGAGCAATAGATAATAGACCTTATATTGTGGGAAGATACGAAAGAAGAAAGATATTGAGATGTATAACATTGTGAAATATTTTCTATGTAGAGAAAACTGAGAAAAGTTTATTTCTGCTTATAGTTTATGCCTCTTATTTGAAGACTTTTTGTATCTATGATGTAACTATTGATTCCTAATGTTATTAAATATCTGAATCATTAAGCAAGTTGAAGGGGAAACGGAAAGCATGTGTCATTATAATTACCTACACTATATTTTCTACCTTGGAAGGAATAAAACACTTAATTTAAATATTCTGAGCTATTTAGTTTCTCACTACCTTATCTTTTTCTTGTTTTTTCGAGTTTACTACAATTTATGTTCTGTCTGTAGGATTCTTCTTCTTTACCTCAAACTTTACTTCTCCAGCTAAAGTGAGATGTTCCAACCATACAGGTTCTTGTGCAATTCTTAATGTAATAACTACTACATATGCCCACATTCATCTTTTATTATTTAGGTTCTCTTTGGATAGCTCTCATTATGGATATATTAATAACAGTGCTAGCCTTGTGGGGAGGGGATAACTTCTGGAATCCATTGTCATGAAATTTAAAATAATATATTTCTTTATACTTCTGCCAGGCCCTATACACACATGGGAATGGAAAATCTGCTTTAACTTTAGTTTTGAAATAAATGGGTATGATTGCTATTTCCAAGTAGGAAAAAGATGAAAGCAAGATTTCTCATGATTTTATTATAAATATTAAAATCACATTTTGAAAGAAAAAGCATTTTCAACATCTGTTTTATTTGATGTTGGTAATGAGGCAGTGAAGCAAGTAACAGAGTCAGTATTTAGATCCAAGTCTGCCTAATTCAGAACACAGTGTTTGTCACAAAATGTTCAAAAAAGACTCTCCATTTTATTTTGGTCATATGTGAAGGTGAGTCAGTATATCTTTCTTTCCAGTAGAAATTTTACAACTCTCCTTTGAATTTCGAATTAGGTACTATTTGCTAGCATCATAGTGTTTTGTTAGTCTTTTTCTCAGAAACTAAAGATTTAGAGTTACTTTCAACATTTTTCAAATAACTAATTGGTAAGATGTGGGTTTTAAAAAACTCAAGGGCTGAAATCTTGAATTAGTAGGAATCGAGTGGTTAGGTTTTTGAAAGCCTTAACAAGACTGTCATAATTGACAGAAAATTGCTTAATTAGAATCTTTGTTTCTTAAATCTCAGAGTATTCAAGTGTCTTCCCACCTGTTTTTTCCAGTAGTAGCTATTTCAAAATGTACAAAGATATAGAGTGCATAATGTCATGAACTGTAGTGGTGTGCATTTTTTCAGAGGAGGCCCTTTAGAACATTAAAAACAAACTTACTCTCCAGTATTTGATGAAATAGCTGAAGACTGTTGTAGCAATGTACAGGCAGTAGAGAACAGAGTAAGCTAAGAATTGAAGGAAGAATTTGTAGTTGGAAAATCCAATGCAGTTATTAACCCTAAAAAAAAAAAAAAAGAAAAACTAAATTGAAATCAGGACCTATCAACTGAGAACATACTGATACTTAAGAGGACTGAGCAATGGAAGCATGTTGGTCCTGCTGCTTCATGATGTGTCAGGCAGAAACCCAACAGAGCCAGGAGATTATTAATAAGAACAGAACAGAAAAAATGTTCACCTCTCACTTGTTTCTCATTTTATTCACAGCCACAGAAACACCTGGCTTATCTAATAGCTATGAACTAGTTCCTGAACACCCCAAGCAAGGCAGATTTTGGTTCCTAAATACTTATTAAACCATTAGTAGCTATGCTTGGTCCAGTTGTGCCATGTTCTCTTCTTAATTAGGTGATTTCAAGCTGGTACTCTGGGCCAGGCATAACATTTTTGGAAAATTGATGAATAACTTAGAATATTTCAAACATCATGCCAACTAAAAACAGTAATGAATTATGTGCTGTAGAAGAGGAGAAGTGCTTTGCTGTATTTCATCACTATGCTCAATTGCCAAAGTTAAAGGCATGAGGCTACTAGGCTCAGTAGGCTACTTTTGGGAGCCCAGAAAGTCACTACCATATTTTTGGTAGAATGTTTACCCCCTGTCCCCTAACACAAATACAAATCCCAATGAATTCTGGTGACTGAAAGAGGCAAGTTACAACTCTGCTTAGGAAAGTGGCTAGACTTATCAACTTTGACATTTTTCAGGATAAAAACAAATAAGACATACCAAGGGCAATGATGGTCCATTTTTAAAACACACCTACAAATTGAACAAAACAAAGTGCAATGAGTGAAGCTATAGAAAGAAATTGAGCAATACTTCAAAGTTTAATTCAAGCTTTCACTAGTATTTTTTATATTGTTTCAGTAAATGCATTCCCAAATGTCCATAGTGACAAAAACACTATTGTGTCCTCAGTAATTCCTAGCATGAGGTAATTACAACAATTCACAGGATTTTGCTGGCAGCAAGTCACATGCTTTTAAAAGAGATCAGGAACTCTATGTTACTGGTACAGTGATGTCTCCTCTAGTTTTTTTCAATAATCAGTTTAATAAAATACAAAAAATATATATGGTTGCAGCCTGTGTTTGAATCAAAGTTAAGAGAAATAGAGGTGGAATAAGCACTCAAAAGGAAAGGTTGGGTCCACTGAGCTCAGTGGCACAGTGCCTGACTGGCAAGCAGAAGGTCCTGAATTCAATTCCTGACACCAAAAAAGTAAAATAAAACAAGAAGGAAAAAAAAGATCAAGAGTATATGCAGCAACACAAAAAGGAGGTTTTAACAAAGTTGGAACAACTTTGTTCTGCTTTTAGAAAGGGTCTCACTATGTGGCCCTGGCTGGTCTCAAACTCATGACCCTCCTGCCAGTCTCCTGAGTGTTGGTATTACAGGAATGTGCCAATGAACTCAGATTCAAAGGTAGAAAAGCTAGAATCACAAAAATATAAAACAGTATTTGTTTATAATACAAAATAGAAAATGAATATCCAAGTCTCTATGTTGACATAAATAAATGATTGGAAAGATGAATACATATAGAAGAGACACATCTTCCATGCAGAAAAATTCCAAATAACTTAAGATGTTCCACCTTTAAGGAGGTGGAATGTAACTTTACATGCTTTTATTTCATATCCTTTTCTATGGGCTGTGCAGTGACTTTCATTCAAAGAGTATGATACAAAAGGGAGTGTGGCTAATATTTTTACAGTTGAGAAACTTGTAAAATACAGTCTGAACCAGATGATAAAGACTAACATTGCAGTGATTAAGTCTTGCTTATATGTAGTCTTGATATGATATAATGAGAACTGCACTTTATGATCTTCACCCTAAGTTACATTACCTCAGTTTATCAGTTGTGAGAAAGGATTAAACAGATCCCAGTTGAGGGATATTCTACATAATGCCTGATAATTAATACTGAAAGCTGTCAAGATCATCAAAAATAAATTAAAGTTGGAGAAATTGTTACAAGTTTGAGAAGCTAAGGAGACCACTAAGTGTAACATGGTATTCTGGGTGGGATCCTAAAACAGAAAAGAAATTAGGGGAAAACTAGACTTGTTAAAAACGGTATCAATATTGGTTCATGAACTGTTACAAATGTATCACAGTAATAGAAGGTATTAATAATTGGGGAAAATGGGTATGATACACATGAGAACTCTTCACAATAAGTCCATAAACTAAATTGTTCTGAAATACAGCTTATTTCTTAATGTGATTTTATTTCTTGATCTTTAGAACAGTTTAAATCATTATCTACCCATATGATGCTGTTTAGCATGTGCTTCTCATGAAATAAAGGAGATGCTCTTATCTAGTTAGTATTACATGTTATGATCAGTCATTTTGTGATCCATGTCCAAGATAAGCCAAGGGAAAGTATGTCTGTCACTTACATGGCACAGACAGAACAGTGGTGGCAGCGGTCTGGCTTGATCAGGTGGCACCGGTCACAGAATCGTACAGCTATAGGAAAAATAAGGAGGTTAGCATTTTTACGGCACAATGTAAGACCTTAGATCTTACTAGTGTATGTGGATGACTATATACTGACTAAAGGTAGGGAAACGTAGCCTCATGTTGGTAAGCAAAAGATAATTATAATTGTGCTGTGTATTATTTCCCTGTTGGATCAACCTTGAAAGCATCTTTTGGGGAAGTGGAAAAGTTTGATATTTGGACATCTGACATGTGATTTTGTATGATAAATCTACTAACAAATGTTTTAGTCATCTTGAGAGATCACTTAGCCTATTTATTCCAAAGTTTCTATCTGAAAATAGGGACTCATAATTTATATCCTGTCGCCAGCAGTTAGAATTTATTTATTTATTTTTAATTTTTATTTTTCTTACTTTCAAAGTTAGATTTTTTATATTTTTCCATAATTTTATTGAGACACAAATAGCAATGAGACAGCTTCAAACCAAATTGGTAGGACAGTTTCAATAATTAACACATTGCATATTCTTTTTTTTAATTAATTTTATTGAGAAAGAAGTAGCAATGAGACAGTTTCAAAACAGGTTAGTAGGACAGTAATTAATTAATACATTGCATATTTCTGCCTTTGTAGTAGTTATTCATAGTACTAGATTCAGACATGATATCTTGTCTAAACACTATTAGCACAAATCTTTCTTCTCATTGAACTAAGAGAAAGTAGCTGTATGTCTACCCTAACTATTTTGTATATACAGGTATATATATATTTTTGACTACAAAATGGACCTTCATTTATATCCCCCTTTTTTGTTTAGTTTTGTCAGAGATGGGCATTCCATTGTCACTCAAATATTGTGGGTGCATGAATTCAGCAAAATAATCCAATATAGTTCAGTAGACCGTAATAGTTGTGGGTTATCCTCAGGACTGGCAATGTCAGAAGTTGCTGACTTCAGTCTTTTAAAGCTCAGCATATTAATATGGCTTTAATACCTCATGTTTATACTTTTTGCTGAATAAGATATCCTGTCCAAACACTATTTTTTTTTTTGGTGGAACCGGGGATTGAACTCAGGTCCTTGCGCTTGCCAGGGAAGCACTTACACCACTGAGCCATCTAACCGGCCCTTTGCATACATTCTTCCTACTGCTTAATTGCTGTACAAGATGCGAACATGATATCCTGTTTAGAAACACTATTACAAATCCCTCTATTCACTAAGAGAATGTAACCATATATCTATCCTAATCACTTTGAATACACAGATACAAAATGGACATTCATCTGTACCACCTTTTTTGTTTAGTTCTGTTATTTGATAACTATAGGTGTGTTAAGCCAGAAAAATATTCTAAAAGAGTCCAGTAGTCCATAATAGTATATTGGGTCTTCCGCTTCACTGGCAATGTCAGAAATTGTTGACCTGAGTCCCCCACAGCTCAACATAACAGCATGGTTTTACTTCTTATACTTTGTTTTTATACTTTTCTGCTGGATGGTTAAGACCAAGGTAAAGCAGGACTTATGCAACAAGAGTTGTAGCTTTTGGGTCTGATAAGGTCAGTGAAATCCCCTCAGTATTTATCCTGAGATCCTGTACCTCAGATTGTAGAACCTTTGTCAGTGTCAGCCATGTGGATGAGTCACGACCATTGCTTGGCCAATGTGCTCTCTGTGAAAGACTGAGAGAATGTTTTCTCTCCATGTGACTCACTCTATATCATCGATCACTTTCCTCTTTGGTCCCATAATCTCCTTGATCAGAAAATTTGGGACACTGCCGAGTTACAAGACGTTACAGTACAAGTTCTCATATGTCCTGAGTGTTAATTGACCTTAGAAGGCTACGGCCAAAATGTTGGCTTTCCTTGCAGCCCTCCTTTTTCTCTGATTTTGGTCTGCAAACTTAGGTTGCTAACCCTCCATAAGAGAAGCTCATTGTTATTACCATACAACCTAGGCTGTGAAGCTTAACCTCACTATCTGTCTGAATATCAAACATCTCAGGCATAACATGGAACAGGTATTTTTCATCAAGTATTGATATGTTGAACTTTAAGTCCCTATAGGGTATGATGAAAACATTTAAAAATTAGAATATATTTTAAAAATAGGCATAGAGAATTATGTAATTCTTCTGTTTACACATAAGTCCAAAAATCTAACCATATACAACCTTGTAGCAGGACAGTCCCACAAAATTCCCTTTCCTTTCTCCTGCCTTCATTCACCACCCCCTTGTTTTTGAACAGTCATCTACCCGAGAGACAGCACAGCAGCAACTAGCATTTCATGACAAGCAGCCTGTATTCAGAAGACCAGAATGACAGGCACTCCAAGCATGAACCTACTATTACAAACTGCCATCTTCAGTGTGGTTGCTTAGTTCATGGGTGTCAGTGTATATAGTTAGTCAGGGTGAGAATCTTTCCAATTAACTGCTAGATTAAAAATTCTTCCAAAGATTCTCAGGATCATTGCCTTGCCCATCTTCTACCGATAACTGTATGGCTTGTCACTGTCATGTTTCCTAGCTCTTCTCCTTTCAGTCTCTTAGTTAGTCCTCGAGTTCTTGTTTTCCTTTTACTTGTATGATACCTTTCTATTTGTATTTCTTCTTTTGAGTTCTTATGCTAGGGAAACTATACAATATTTACACATGTGTGTCTGATTTATTTCACTTACGAGTATATCTTCAAATGGCATCCACTTCAATAAAGGATTCGAGTGTATCATTCTTTATCACTGAGTAATACTACATTGTATAAAAATACACATCTTTTTGATCCATTCTTCAGGTGATGGGCATCTTAGTTGTTTCCAAGATTTGGCTGTCACAGATTGTGCTGCTATAAACATAGGCACACAAATATCATTATGATATGATATTTTCAGATCCTCTGGGAAAATTCCCAGTAAAGGAATAGCTGGTTTAAATGGGATTTCCAGTCCAAGCTTTCTAAGGAGTCTCCACACTGATCTCCATAATGCTTGCACCAGTCTACGTTCCCACCAGCAGTGGAGAAGGGTTCCTTTTTCTCCACAGCCTCTCCAACATTTGTTGTTGGTTGATTTCTTTATGATAGCTATTCTTTCTGTGGTGAGATGATATCTCAATGTTGTGTTAATTTGCTCTTCACGAATGGCTAGTGATGTGGAGCATTTTTTTCATATATTTATTCGTTTCTTTAATTTCATCCTCTGAGAATTGCGTGCTCATCTCAGATGCCCATTTCTGGAATGGGACTTTAAATTTTGTGTCCCTAGTGGTTTTTAGTTCTTTATAGATTCTAGAGAGCAGACCTTTGTCTGAGTACTTATTTGTCATGATGTTTTCCAAATTTGTGGGTTGTCTTTTCACTTTGCTGGTAATTTCTTTTGACGTCCAAAAACTTCTCAGTAAGAGCTGATCCCAGTTGTTAATTCTTTCAAGTATTTCCCGTGTGTTTTGATTTTTGTTCATAAACTCTTTGCCTACCCCTATGTCTTCAAGAGTTCCTCCTACTTTCTCTTCCAGGAGATTTAGTGTCTCTGTTTTAATGTTTAGATCTTTAATCCATTTTGACTTTAGCTTAGTGCATGGTGCTAGATCTGGGTCAAGTTTTAGTTTTCTGCATGTAGAGAGCCAGTTTTTCCAGCACCATTTGTTAAAGAGGCTCTCTTTATTCCAGTGAGTATGTTTTTCCCCTTTGTCAAAGATAAGGTAGCTGAGTGTGTTAGTAGGGGCTTCAGCGTCTTGTAATGTATTCCATTGATCCTCAGGTCTATTTTGTTGCCAGTACCATGCTGATTTTTATCACAGTAGCCTTGTAGTATAATTTGAAGTCAGGTATTGTAATGCCTCCTGCCTTGTCTTTATTGCCCAAGATTTCCTTTGTTATTCTAGGTCTTTTCTGGTTCCAAATAAATTTTAGGAATGATTTCTCTAGCTGTGAGAGGTATGTTGGTGGTAGTTTGAGAGGGATTGCATTAAATCTCTACACCAATTTTGGGAGTATGGCCATCTTCACAATGTTGGTTCTTCCTATCCAGGAGCATGGTATATCTTTCCATTTTCTGAAATCCTCTACAATCTCTTTTTTATGAGTGCTGTAATTTCCCTTGAAAAGGTCTTTGATTTCTTTAGTTAGATTAATTTCAAGGTATTTCATTTTCCTCGGTGCTATTGTAAAAGGTGTTGTTTCTATAATTTCCCCCTCAGTGAGTTTGTTGTCTGTGTAGAGGAATGCTATTGACTTTTGGGTATTGACTTTATAACCTGCTCTGCTACTGAATTTCTGTATTAATTCTAGTAGCTTCTTGGTGGAGTGTGTTGTGTCTTTCAAGTAAAGTACCATGTTTTCTGCAAATAATTATAATTTAACTTCTTCTTTACCTATTCTTGTTCCTTTTATTTCCTTCTCTTATCTAATGGTTCCAGAACTACATTGAATAGGAGTGGTTTTAGAGGACATCCTTATCTTGCACCAGAATTTATGAAGTAAGTAAAATCCCCACAAAATGGCAGCATGGTTCTAGGAAAAATAATTTGAAGAATAGATGTCCAAGAATAATTAGATCAACTGACCATTTCATTGATAAAGAAGTGATACATCCCATGAGTTGTTCAAGATCACACAGCAAGTGAATGATAGTGCTGTGACCTAGATAGGTTTTCTATCGTTTTAGTTCAGGGATTCTATTCATTCCATAAGACTGATGTTTAAAAAATAATACCTCCTATCTCATTCTTTCCCTCCTTTCTTTTTTTTCTTTACCTTAGATTAAAGATATTCTCCTTCTTTCTCATTTTCTCTATGTTCATTGATATAATATTGCTGCATATGGTGATTATTACTTAAGTGTAAAAACTAAAATTATGAAAAATTTGTGCTAAGATATAATAATATCATTTCACCTAAAATGTATATCTAAGAAGCACATAGAAGTCTCAATAAAATAGACTGCTCAACCAGCGAAGTTTTGTGTTTATTTCTACCAGTGGGGAGTGTGTGACCACAAATGTGATATCAAGTGAAGG